TCCTTCAGGCGGTTGTACTCCTCTGCCACGCCCTGCCAGGGAAACACTGGAGTTGGGAGAGGAACAGACCGGGCCCCCCCAAAATGGAGCCTCCACATTCAGGAGCAGTGCACCGCAGGGCAAGGAAAGAGCCTCCTCGGGCCGCTGTGGGGCTGTTGGGCTAGACTGCTGCACCCACTGGGGGAGAGGGTCTGCTGGGGGGGGTCATGCCCCAGGCACGGCCCTCGAAGGTCCCTCACTCAGCTGGCAGCTGCCAGGCCACAGAACAGCCTTTCCCGCCATGCCCGGCAGCTCAATTCCGCAGGCAACGGGGCCGACCGACCCTGGCGCTCAGGTTGGGTTCCCTGGGGCCCCGGGGGGTGCCTCGGGCGGGGCCCCCTCCCTTTTCCCTGCTCCCCGGGGCCCCCTTTGGCCGGCTGCCCACCTGGTACTGGAGCGTGTCCTCCGGCAACTGGTCCAGCTGCCTGCTGAGCTGGTTGATCTGGTCGTTGATGGCGTCCATCTCGCCACAGAGCCGCTTGTAGCGCTTGAGGTCAGTGTCAAAATCTTGCTTGTACCTCTGGCGGGCATCGTCGGACATGATGGGCGGGTAATGGCGGGGGGGGGGGGGGGGGGGGGAAGCCCAGCCACGGGCGGGGGGGGCGCTGGGGCACCCCGAGACACCCGCCCACCCCTAGTCTACGGCTGGCAAGAAGGGGGGGATAAGGGGAGGGGAGGCAGGGGCCCCTCTTGACGCCCTTTGCGTGTCGAGGGGTCTGGGGGAGAGCCAGGACAGAGGGGGGGGCTCCCTGCAGGACATGGTCTGCCAGCTCTGAGTGGGCGGTGCCCCAGCAAGACCCCCAATGGGGTTCCTTCCACAGGGCGATTTAACGGGCCCCCCAACATCGCCCACAAACTGTGAGCTGTCCGATTCGCTGCCCTCTTTGGGTGCCAGCCGGACATCCTCCATCAGCCTGGGCTGCCCTCCCTTCCGGGGGTCCCTGCTCAGCTCAGTGGGATTTGGGGGGACCCCCCCTCCCTTCCCCTCCCTTAAGGAGACACTTTCCTTCCCTCGGGGGGCTGGAAGAGGCTCCGTGAGCCCCAAAGGCTGGGCTGGCTGGGGGGCGGCTGCTCAGGCCGGAGACCCACTCGGGGTGGGGGGAGGGGTCTCCCACTGTAAGCCCCCCCTAATTTCTCACCCCTGGACGTTTGGTCGGAAGGTTTGTGCTTCCCTTGATGGCTAAAAAGGGAAAATCCCTCCTGGTGATGAGGGCTGTTGTGGCCTCTGTGCCAGAGAACCGGCTCCCTCCTGTCCTGTCCCTGTCCTGTTGTTCTGTCCTGTTGTTCTGTCCTGTTGTTCTGTTTCCTTCCGCCCCGTCCCTTCCCGGCCCCCCTTGGAGGGAGAGGCCAGGGGGACACCAGGGGCCGGGCTGATTCCTCTGAATGGTTCATTATATAGGGAGTCCTCGACTTACGACCACAACAGAACCCACAATTTCCGTCACCGTGAGACGTTTGTGAGCTTTGCCCCATTTTTCGACCTTCGCTGCCACCGTTCTTAAGTGAAGCACTGCTATTGTGGAGTTAAGTGACACGGCCGTTAAGTGAATCCAGCTTCCCTGTTGACTTTGCTCGTCAGAAGGTGGATCCCAAAGGGGATCGCAGGGTCCCGGGAGGCTGCGACAGTTGTTAAGTGTGAAAAGCGGTCACAAGTCCCCTTTTTTTCCAGGGCCGAACTATGGTCACTAAATGAACGGTCGTAATTCGAGGGCCTCCTCTAACGCAGCCTGTGACGATGACGGGCCTGGCGTCTTTTGCAGGGGGGGGGTCTGGCTTCAGCCTCTCCCCCTTCCGGGCCCCTCCCCGCAGGGCCCCCCCCCTCACCTGTCCCACTCGTCCGGCTCCTGCTCGTCGCTGGACTCTACGGCCGTGGTGTAGTCCGTCTCGTAGGGGGCCTCCTCCGGGTCGGGGTTCCCCCGGCGAGCCCTCCGGCTCCTCTGGGCGGGGGCCTTCCGGGGGGGCTCCTCCCAGGTGCTGGAGCTCAGCGTCCGGGCGCGCTTGTCCAGGGGGGGCTGGAAGGGAGAGCTACGGGGGGGAGGGGGGGGAGTCAGGCCGGAAGGTCAGCTGCACCAAAGGATGGGGGGGGCACCGAGGGGGGGGATTATTCGGAGGACCTCTGACTGTGCTGACCCCGCCCCCCCAGCGAATCCTGGAACACCAGAGCTGGGAGGGGGCCTTGAGGTCTTCTAGTCCAGCCGTGGACTCTTGTCACGGGGGGGGGGGTTCTACCTGATCCGATTCCAAGCGTTCTCCGGCTTCCAGGAGCCGGGAAAGCCCCCCCCCCGCCCCCCCCATCCTGCTCTCACCTGATCCGGCCATCCGCCCTGGAGAAGCCATCCTTCTCGGTGTAGCTGGGGGGGCTGGCGGGGGCGTGGACGGGGCTGGTGGGCTTCTCCGAGTAGGCCAGGGTGGCCGTGTCGGTGGGGCTGGCTCGGCCATCCACGTTCTTCACCTGCAGGGGGGCAACAGGCACTCCTCAGCCCCCTCCCCCCCCCGAGGTCAGGGCCCATAACCTGACCTTCTCACCTCCGTCCCTCCTGGTGGAACTACGGAGCCCAGAATCCCCAGCTAGCCTGGCAGAAGCAAGGTCACTCGGGGTGTCGGCTGTCCCCAGGTGGAGTCGTTCCCCCCCCCCCGTAGGAGGCCCAGGCTTAGCAGGTCCCCTCCCCAAAAATGACTCCCCGCCTTGCCTGCCCTCCCAGCTGGAAAACGGGGGCAGGGAGGGGGGGCCAAGAGCTCAGGGCAGCAACATCTGCCAGGCCAGACTCAGCCCCCCACCTGGGCTTTCCAGACGCCCCCCCCGCAGAAGATCCCCCCCCCGCAAGATGTGGCTGGCCCCTCCCTCCCCTTGGCTGTTGCGCCCCCCCCCGAGCTCTCCCCTTATCCACACACACCCGGGCCGCAGCCCTCCCCCCCGTGCCTGCAGTCCCACAGCTGGAAAGCAGGTGCCAGGTGGGGGTTGTGCAAGGCCAGGCCCTCCCCTTCCTCTCCTTCCGGCTTGGAGCCAGTGTGGTTCAGCCCTTCCCTGCCCTCTTGGAGCAGGGGGTTGGACTAGAAGACCTCCCGGGTCCCTTCCAACTCTGCTATTCCCTTATTCTGCCCACCAATCAACCCCCAGAGGGGGGAACGGCACCGCTTGCTGGGGTCCGGATGTAAGAAGCAGCTCCCTGCTTTGCCCCCCCACCCAGAACACTGCAGAACCAAGTATCCTGGGGGGGGGGGCATTCTCGCCCTTCATCTCCCCCCCTCCTCCCTGTCAAATCGCCCCCTTCCCGAAGGCCCAGCAGGAGGCCAGAGTCCCCTCCCCCCCATCCGAGTTCGGCCTCCCGGGACAGAGGCAGCCCCTGAAATGGGGGGATGGGGGGGCAAACGTCCACCGGGCTGGCAGGCTTCTGTGGGTGGGGGGGGAGCAGCCCACCCCTGGCACCCCGCTCCAGCCAGGCCCCACGGCCCCCAGTCCAGCCACCTGAGGCGGCAGCTCCGAGCCACATGGGCTCCTTTGGCCTCCGTGGTTAATCATTGATGTAACCGAAACCGGAGAAGCGATAAACAGCCCTGTGCGCTCTCGGTTACACACAACAAACACACACCCCTCCGGCGCAGAGGGAAGGCTTGTCTTGCTGTTGTTGCAGACCAGGAAGAGAAAATTGTGGTGGGGGGGAATATGGAGGGAAATTCCTAGCGGGGGAAAAAGCCCGGAGGGGTTGGAAGACGGAGATGCCTAAAGCCAGGAGCAGAGAGATAAAAGGGCCGGAATATATCTAGGCCGGCCAGCCAGAGGCAAGCGAGGGAGGGTCTCCCGGGGGTCTCTTCCTAGCCGGGGGGCTGCCCAAAGGGCCGAGTGGGCACTGCAATGCCCCCAAAAGGCTCGGCTGTGGGGCAGAGCTGTGGCAACAGATTAGTAGAGTTGGAAAGGGACCTTGGAGGTCTTCTAGTCCAACCCCCTGCTCAGGCAGGAGTCCTTATTCCATCCTGGAGAAGTGGCTGTCTGGTCTCTTCTCAAGAGCCTCCAGCGATGGAGCCCCCACAACTTCTGGTGGGTGAATTGTTCTAATAGTCAGGCAATTCCTCCTTAGTTCCCGGTTGCTCCTCCCCTTGCGTGTTTCCCTCCCTGCCTCGGAGGATCAGCACCCTTCAGGGTCCCAGAGGAAGCCCCCTCCCCAAAACGAGGGCCCTGCTGGTGAGGGGAGAGGCGTTGCACCCAAAGTGACCCCCCCCCTTTGATCCCTTCCCGGCCCGGCCCAAATTCCCAGCCTGGCTGGCGGCTGGGCACTACCAGAGCAACCAAGGCGCCCAGGGCCGCTGCCTCCCCCGGGGAGCTCCTTTGCTCCTGCTCCACTCACCCATTCCTCCACGTTGGGGCCCCCCTCCAGCGCTGGGGGGCGGTCCCAGTAGATGTTCTGCTTGCCAAACTGCCAGATCTTATGGCGCGTCTTGTGGGCGAAGAAGCAGATGACGCAAAGCAGGACCACCAGGAGGAAGCCACAGACGATGGCCACGGCCTGCGCGGGGAGGAGCAGAGGGGGGGAGGGCAGTTAAACCCCTTCCCGGTCTCCCTCCCGTCCCCCAAATTCCCCAGAGGAGGGGCTCTCTCGGCTGGTGTTCAGGGTCTCCGTGGAGGAGGGAGGGTCTCAGCTGGAGGACATCCCCGCACAGCCAGGAGAGACCCCCCCC